ATTTATTACTATATAATCATTCATGTCAACTTTTTATTTTAATATTTATTGTACTCTCCCACTTGATGTAATATAACAAGGAGAGGAATTGAAAGATGCACTATTTTATTACAGTTCCACTTTGTCAGCCCATATGATCTTCCAGTCACATGAGACAGACTGTCTTTTATGAAGATTACTGGGTGGACAGAGCCCTCACGGTAGAGGCAGTAACTCATGGCACTGTCATAGTCCAGAGATCTTTTTCATTGCCTTGTAGCAGTCACAGCCAAGAAAGAAAAGAGGTATTTGCCTTCCTATATGTCACAACATGGCCCCCCAAAACATAGTTTTAAAAGTGAGCTTAACGTGCATGTTTAAGCATATAGCATATATAAATATGATAGACAAGCTCAAGGGTTGCTTTTTCTCCTTGTCAATAAAACTAGAACTCAGGATTTAACAACTCGTTTATGTCTGTACGGTGAGTGAGCATAGCACAGAAAAGTGTTCCAGCGACCACACGTCAACTGAGAAAATACTTATTAACAGAAGCATGCAATACTAATGCTATTATCTGCACATTTGCCTTTCGCAAAGATCAGAGTAATTACCTGATTTTTATAGATAAAGAAACTGAAACAATTTACTGCTAAAGGTTGTAATGTAAAGTAAATATTTGAAAGAAAAACAAACAATAATCCCAAACAACACGGCTGCTTTGCAGATGATTATTTATTAATGTCTGTCCATAATTTTACTTCCTGCCTTTTTTTCTGTGGATTTGTGAAGCAGCAAGTCAGAGATCAAATTCGTTTTCTGAGAAATAAGCCCCTGCATGTTCTTTACATGCCTGTCAGTAGACCTTTTTTTCAGATGTAGCATTGAACAGTGCAGTAATCTCAGGTTTTTAATGTAGCTTCAATTTGATTTGGATGTAATATCTGTAATCACATTTTCTTTACTTCCTTCCGTGGAGTTCACATCGGCAGTATCATAGTACATCTTGTATTTTCAGGTGGAAAAGCTAGATAGGCTAATCGGTGTCCTCCATCTGTAATGACTGACTTTGTAGTGATCCTTTTTCCCCCTTAAATATCGTGTGAGAGAAGAAAATCATTTTCAACCACAAAATGTTGCTGCTGTTCAGCTCTGATGACACCACTCCCTTCACTTCACACACTTGTTCCATTGCCAGAAGGATTTGACAGCATCTCCCTGGTTTTCAGTGCATCTTCAGGTTGCCCAAAGCAGCAGCAACAGCACCTTGCAGCTCTGAGCCTCTTCATCACGTCTGCTCCAAGGGTTCAACAGGCTGTTAACCCACATAATGCACAAGAAAAATGCCTCTGATGATAGCTACCAGTCCTTGCTCTCAAGCACACCTGACATTTAGTTTTCCTGGAATAATAAAGGTATTTTAGCTGAACCTGACTAGTCCTTTTGGAAGGTTTTAGCCTGCTCCAGAATCTCCTAAACAAAAGGTGCTCACCATCTCCGGTTCTTCCCTCCGGTGCAGTGAGTCAGCACTGATATCATTTTCCTAATGATATCCCTGTCTACCTGCTCCAGGCCAGCTGTTTCAAAACAAGATCTGTGTCACAGAGACAATACTCTCCTAACTGGAAGGAACGTTAATCTCTGGACAACTGTTAATGGCTCTAAAAGCAACTCTCGCCTTCAACAAGGAGTTAATGTTCTTATTTTGAATGAAACAAACTGCAAAGGACCACTTCTTCTGTACCGAAACTCTGCCTAGGGCATAGGTTAGACCTGCTTCCACATGGGATGGCTTCTACTCATGATGGCTGCCTCTGGGCTTCCTGGGATCAGAGTGAATTCAGACTCTTGCAAATGAAACTGCTCCAGGACAGGGCCCTGACTATGCAGGGAAATAAAGGTAAAAACATGGATTTTTTTGAAAGGATCCTGTATTAATAAATCCTCACATTCATGCATGTCAGAAATGTTATAAAGCCATAAGCTCTATTTGAAATTCTCATTTTGAACAGGATGCCAGCAGCAAAACCAGGACTGAATGCATTCCTACGTTTCTACATCACAGCCTCTATTTGCAGTCCTTGGGGTAGGCACTACCTTGCACCAAGGAATATAGCAGGGAAACGTTCTGCACTCCTGAGCAGCACTTGATCCTAATTTGTTTTCCTCTGGAGCTCTTTGGTGTTCTAAGATGGATTCTAGAACAGAAAGGTACAATTTTTCTGGCTTCATTTAGGCATCTAGTCTGTATATAAGTCTGGCTTTGTGTTCCATATTGCCTGTGGAGTTAATGGCAAGGAATAGCCCCTTTTGAGGGGTGAAATACACCTTGAAGAGCTGTTGGGACTGGTGAGCTTGTGTCAGCACCTGCTCATTTTTTTGCATTGCTTATGGAAAGAGCTTGGAGAAGATCTCAGTCTTAAACACTGATATTTCACTTAGGAGAGATGGATCCTACCTAGGCATCCTTTAAGTTTTAAGGATGGGAAAAAGAAGCATGAACAACATTAACATCACACAGACTCATCCTCTTCTCCACCTTTTGGCCAAACTGCTGACTACATATCCCTATTTTGTACAAATCATGCAGAAAAATTCCATGCTAAGCTGGTAGAAAAGACAAAAAGCAGCAGCCTGTCTCAGCTCCTCCTTACAGCATCTGTCACTCTGAATTTACATTCATTTAAGGCCTCACCTGTCCAAAGGACACTTTCAGAAAAGCTTCCAATGTCTGACACTGATCTACCAATGATGTTCTCCTTTACAGATACAAATATCAAAACATCCAGTTTTCACACTTTTTTTTTCTGATTTGGAGATCCCAAAAATTTCCCTGTGTTCTCAGTTTTCTGTACAGGTAGTTGCTGTGTTGTTCCTAACTCCTTTTGTGGAGTACTGCAAAAATCGTCCATAGCCACCCCAGGATCCATGAACACAGCTTGGGGTCCTCTGTTCTGTGCTTGTCACATGAAGCACTGTCACACTGAGTCCCACACAGCCCACGTGAAGTTGGCACAGCAGCAGCAGCCAGTGCTGCTCACATCACTAGGGCTGACACCCTGTAAGCAAAACACTGTTTATCCTCCTTCGGCATAAACAGGTTTGATGAGTGTGAGCCTATCATAAAAGATTTTTGCCCCCTGGGTAAATGTCTTTCTTCTAATTGTCTGCTAATTGTCAAACAGCTAACCCCACTTATTACCAAAATTCTTTCTCCAGAGAAAACTCAGCCAGGAGTTTCATAAATCCTTTTTCCTCATCCTTTTTAATTTTAAAAATTGTTCCAAGTATAATTGGTAGCTATCACCTAAGGAGACATTCCGTTTGAGTTAATCAGCTCCTGCAAGTTTATCTGTGATATATTCGAAAATGCCTTAGCCAGCATCTGGCTTTCTGTCTTAATTGGTAATTACTGACCTAAAATTGCCACATACCATAGGCATTTGTACTGACCTCTCAAATTAAGATCCACAAAATTGAAAGAGGAAGAAGCCTATTTGGTCACTTACTCTATCCTTCAAAGTGCATTTATTATTCATGGTGTGTGATAGGGAATATAAGTGTAGGATATGACTGAGAACACCGTAGGTAATTCGACTTTGAAATGTAAATACAATTAATGAGTATACCTGTCTTCCCCCAGGATTTGTCCTTGCCTGCTTCATCATCCTGACCTCTTTCTTTCTTCTCTTCGATAAGGTTTCTGATTTTCTTTACTTCCTTCTCACTCAAGACTGAAACTTTTTGCAGAAGAATTCCAAGAAAAGCACAGAAGATATTGCATGGATTTCTTGAAACACATGCTTTACTAGCATGCCTTTCAGATTTCATTGTGACCAGGAGTGTGTTAAGAGTTGCCTTGATAATTTGGCACTACAAATCATTTGACATGAACATACTATCACAAGTTTTAAAAAGAACACCAGCTTGCTTGCAGTGAAAGCCCACATTGGCAACATTTAGCTACAGTGAAACTGTGCCATTCACTGGCTGTTGCAGACTGCCAACTAAAAGCCACACATTTAAAACAGCAAACTAAATTGGCCCGGGTTAAACCAAGAAAAATTATTTGGAGAAACGCTGGGTCAACCAAGAGAGGGAACAACACAGTAGGTCTCCAGCTCTCAATCTTATATTGCCCCCTAACCAAAATTTGTTCTTTGTAACTGTATACAGTGGCTTGAAAAGAGGCCAAAATCACCCAAGAAAGACCAACACTACTCCATGTCTTGGGACAGGACTGTAGATCAGCTCCAAGAAGGTGCCAGGACAGAGGTGGTGGCTGCTAGGATAAACACAGATGGACCAAAGGTGAAGTTAAGTGCTTGTATTATCTAGTGCCTTCTTCCTGTTTCAGAGATGCCAAACTCACATCCACTGAAATACCACCTAACGCTCAAATGACTGGGACAATATCTACTAACTCCAGAATTGCTGAAACAGACTATACAATTTCTTCCAGAAATTTAGCACACAAACTGTACACAATTGCAGAAGAGAATTCATTATAGGAATGTTTAACTATTTAATAGGATCAATTTTTAGACAAGCAAAGCATCTACCACTTTAAAATGAGAATATAAACAAACAAAACAAAAAACAAGCAAAACCAAACAAACAAAAACCCTGGGGTAGGCACCAGCTGTCCAAGTTAACTTGGACAGAAAATAATTTCAGCTTTGGTAACAGAAAATATTCTGAGTCAATTGCCCAGTGTGTTGAAGTTAATGGCAAACTATTTTAACCTTGGTCATTTTTTGATATGCAACTAATTCCTGACATGCAACTTGCATGATATACTATTGATTAGCCTTCAGGGCACATTCAACAAGAGAGGTTAATTTCTTTTGCATGCTTAAACATTCACATTCCTTCCCTCCTTAGGGAATGTCATGATCAAGAGAAGTATTTTGGCCTTCAAAAACTAGAAGTACATTTGACTGTCGCCAACTTTCGTTCAGCAGAATGCTACTCTGGGGTTTGGTTGAAACAAATTCATCCAGCATTGTTTGTGAATGAAAAAAAAAAAAAAAAAAAAGTTAAGCAAGAGGACTAAAGGCTGCTCAGGCATACCACATCTCTTTTCAACAAGACAAATTACAGCTATTACTTTATATCAATGAACTGTAATAATCTGGAAGGAAAATTTGTGATATTGAGCTCTTATCTACCTTACTTTCTACCTTCTGATAATCAGGGTACTTCGGTGGTAGAGAAGGGGACATTCCTCATGCCAGCTTTGTTCATATGAATTTATTCAATAAAATACATTTTTTAAATCAGCCTTCCAATCAGATAATACATTTATTGCGATTAATGCTCAAGGAGAGTTGTTTACCAGGGATGTCTAAAAATAATACGATTTTTAACATTACGTTCCTCACAGGAGTTAACATTTGGACTTCAGAAATGGAGAATAAAGTGCGAGTGCACCATTTGCCCTTTACGCAGCCAATCTTTGCAGAGCAGAGAAAGTTTCAACAGAAGTAGCTGTTGCCTTTAGTTTCTTTATCATTTTTTTAAAAATCAGTTTCACCTCTGGCTTTCTGTGCTAGCACAAAGCCGACTCCTCTGCAACCTCTTAGACTTGTTCAGTGCTTAAGTCCCACCCAGGAGGGAGCAACTTGGAGTTTTCATTTGGAACTAGCAGGAGGTATCACTGGATGAAAGCAAAGGTAATCCTCTCAGCATGCAATTCAGAAACAATTCTAAGCAGGTCTCAAAAGATGAAATCAGCTGAAGAAACAGATCATCTAGAGGTTGGTCCTGGGCTATTCAGTGTTTCAAAGTCTATCTGCACTGCTGCTCCCCCTTGATCTGTGAAGGTGTGCAGCGCTCAGTGAAGGTCCAGCATAGCACTATCACTGGGCTCTGTGTGTGCAGGCTCAGTTGGATTAGATGACCTTAGAGGTCTCTTCAAACCTAAATGATTCTATGATTCTGCTCCAGACTGCAGAAACAGCTGTGCCCACCCCAGGACACCCTCACTTGCCAGCCTAAGGTTCTGTATTTTTGGTAAATGGGTTTTTAGTAAAAGGGAGTACCACAAGAGGAAAAAATTACTCCTAATTTCTGACAGTCCCCTTCTCATACATTCCCATCAGCCCCATTTGCCAGTGGCACAGCACAAGGGTGTGGGAGGTTACTGGCCCTTGATTCCTCCAGCACAGCTCAGGACCTGTTCTCAGTCACACTGTCTCCAAGGAAGAACTGCAGCTACCGACGAGGGAGGGGAAGCAGCATCTAAGGCAGTTAGCCTCTAAAAATGTTCCCAAAAAGCACTGACCATCATCACAGAATCTCTCAAGGTGGAAGTGACACCTAAGGATCATCAGATTCAATTCCCTGCTCCTCACAGGACTAAATAAAACTAAACACATGGTGCAAAACATCATCCAGACACACCTTGAGCTCTGACAGGCTTGGTTGCATGACTACTTTGCAGGGAGCCTGCAACGGATACTAAGGCAAAATTTCCTGAAAAATTACGAGGCAGGAAAGATGTGCAAAGTCTTATGAGATATTGTGCCCATGTGTTTAAATTTGTGTTCTAGACTGTGGAAGACAAAGAGACAGGAGTAGGATCACCAGGGGAAAACAAAGGCTCTCAGGAATAACAACAGCTACTTTCTCTCTCCAAAAATCCCGGTCATTATTCCTTTTTTCCATCCTTGGGTCCTTCTTGATTTATTACAGTTAGAACAGGATAAAAACCAAACTTCAACAAGAGGCAGCAAGAACTCCTACAGAGATTCATGTTGGGGTTTCAAACTCCTTAACAAACCTGCTGAGGCCTTTTGAAACAGGAAGTTGCTCCTCTGCCTCTGCCCCCTGACAAACCTCCAGTCCAGCTCCTGCCTCCCCACCCTCCCCAGCTACCCTGTCCCTGTGCATTTCAACCATATTTCACAACCCACTACATACATTCCTGTTCTCCCATCTTAGCTTTTGGGGTTGGTTTTAGCATTTCATTATCTTTTGGACTCACTTTTGCTTCAGCACCTGCTACACTTGTAAAGGTTGCTCAGCTTTTAGAAATTAGTAGTAAGATGAGGCTCCTGAAAGTGGGGCAGTTTTTCCATGCAATAATTATGCTCCCTCCACCTTTGTGCTCTTATCTGTACTGGATTCAAGTATTCATTGCTATTAGCACTGACTGATGTTTTTCCAGGATCTCTGACAGTCAAGACACTCACACTCTGACAAGTTATCAGTGTTGGTTTTTGGGTGAAGAGCATATGGAAGATAAAATTCCCCCTTCTTCAGAACAGTTGAACACGAAGCAGGACAGCATAGTTTGAACCAAAAGGCAAGCTGTGCATTAACACCACATATAGAATGGTCAAATTTCCAACAACAGCAGCAACACTGCCTGGTGTGGGATTAATGCTGCCTTTTGCATATTTTAAAGGGGATGACAGAGTTACTAACAACTAGTGAGATTTTTTTATCAATTGCCAGCGGGGAGGCCCTTGCTTTCCAAAACAACTGCCATTATGTGTAACTATCTCTAACACAAAAAGCCTCAAATATTAAATCCATTCCTGGAGAAAAAGAGTAGGGGGAAGGGAAAAGGAAACATCATTTAATTCACTTTAGTTTTAAGTATCATCTAGTAATAGCCTAAATTAGCACAGTGAAGTAATAAAGGTCATGAGTTCAGTAATTTTTAGGTTACCATAGTATATAAACATCTGAAAGACTTGCAGACAGGTGTTGTTGCTTTCTATTATTATTATTACTATTTTGGGAGGTTGGGTTTTTTCCTTTTTCTTGTTGCTTGTACTTGTTAAAAGCCAAAACTTTATCCTTTATTAAAAAATAAAGGAATAACCTTTACCTGAACAGCATTATGTATGTTGAGGTGAAAGTATCAGATAGGAAGTGGACTTGCTTTATATAGGTATAATTTTTCTAAACAAGATGTTCCATGTAGTCAGTATAACTTACAAGCAACACAAAAGTTTGTTGATCCACAAATTCAACACAACTGCTTACAAAGAAAAAAATGTCAGAATGCATTCTGTGTAAGCACACCACAGAAAACAATGTGGCTAAGAAAAAAAACAAAACAAAACAAAAAAACCCAGACAAACAGTAAGATGTATAGATCAGCAGGCAGAAAATACATGTTCAAGCTGGAACTTACCACAACATGGAAAAAGCATTTTTTTTTCTTACAGCCCTGCCCATCTGCGATAAACAAAAACCAAGCACGCAGCATCTGTGTTCTCTCTTCTTAATGTCAGCTTACAAATACTGCAAAGCAACTATGATCTTATACAACTTCCAAGGCAACGTGTTGTTTTTCTGAAAGACCAACATATTTTGTATGGATCTAAAGATGGATTTGTGGCTGTCAAACACTCCATCTGGTTTCTAAAGCTGAGCAAACATTGCTTTATTAAATAGCAAAATAAAAATATTTCACTTAGAACTAGACCCACATGTAATCAAGCACCAGCAAGTAGGCACTTGCTACATTATTGGTATCTTGAAAACATTCTGTCTAACAACTTTGGGTTGTTAGAACATCATGTCATCTAGCCCATCCTCCATGAACTTCTTGTAAATGGCCATAAACTTTGCAACAAATGCTTCCAGATGATAAATGGCTTTGCTGCCCAGTTGCAGGCGGTGTTCATAGAAGGCCGCCATCTGTGCAACTTCTCCTTTCAGTTGTCCATCACAGTTATTTAGAAGCTCTGTTAGGAGGCCCTAAAATGGAAAAGAAACAGGACAGTATTTGAAAAATTAGGAATTTTTTGTTAAGAGGATAACCTTGTTTCTCTGAAAATATCCAAGCTATGAGCAATAGCTCACTCATTAATCCAACAGAAGAGACATTCAAGAATCATTTACTGGAACCATTTATGGTTTAATAAAGAAAATATGTTAATCTCATCTCCAAATACTGTAACCTCTACTGCATGGAGGCACATGGCCCTGGGGAGAATTCTTACCAAGATAGCAAGTGTATTAAAGTCACTTACTTCTATTTTGACAGCATCGAGCACAAAAAGAAACAGTATTTATTAAAAAAAAAAAGAAAGGGGCTTATTTAGAATTTCTGTTTATATTTATGCACATATTTATGTGCAGACACACGATACAACTTGACCACAGTACTTTGGTCATTACAAAACCCCAAAATGCATTATTTTAGATCTCAACAATAAAATCATTGCAAATCCATCTATATTAAAACAGTCAGGATTAAGTGAGAAGTATCTCTAGACCATTTCAAGTTTATGAAGAAGGAGAGGGTAGAGAATATGCACCTTTTGCCTCCCCAACACAGCAATGCAGGATCCACTAACCTACCATAAGAAATGAAGGTTAAAGAAACCTCTGACTACCAAAAATGTCAGAAAACAGAAATCAGTCAATGTGCAAAAAATTATATCTGAAGGCAGAGTCCACCTAGGTTAAGCTGCAAAGATTATATCTTTAATGTTTGTTCTGCTCTAGATGTCTTCAGCATCTTTCATCATGCTAAAAATAAGAACATACACATCCCACTTGCTTTTTTCCTCTCAATACGACTTTGAAAAGGCCTGGTGCTCTAGCATCCTTCAGCACATCTCTCCACTAGGACATAGCAAATACTGAATTTCTAACAACAAAAGTTATAAAAAAGAAAATCATATTTGATTTGATATGAAAACATATCAAGCCTACAGAATCATATGGTCATTAAGGCTGTAAAAGACGACCAAAATGATGAAGTACAGCCTTTGACCAAATAGCACCACGCCCACTAACCCATATCACGAAGTACCAAGTCTACTAGCTCTTTCAACACCTCCAGGGATGGTGATTCTATTTGGAAAGGACACAGCTTTCCATCAATATTTTGATAATTTGTGATGTTTTGGTGGGTTTTTTTGTTTGTTTGTTTTTTAACTCTAGCTGGGACTGTCATAGCATTAATATTTACAACACTTTAAGAGCTAGATAGCTGAATTACCTTCATTATAATCTCAGGAGGAATGCAATGTGTCAAGAGTTCATAAAGCCGTCCACGGACCTCTAAAAGCCTGTGGGAATGACACCACAAAATATCAGAAGTGTGACCCCAAATCATTCTAATATATTTTCATTATTTATGAAATACATTTCAGAAAAAAAAAAAAAAAAGGCAAAGTTTCTTCGGTTTTGCATGTTATTTTAAACCCAAAAGCATTGCTCAAGTGAATTTCAATTCAAATGCTGCATATCACCTTTTATTCAAAAGATAAGTTACATATACCCTAGTTACAAAGGTCTTCGTTAATCTAGAAGCTACAAGGCTATTAGAATTTGTCTCAGGCTTGCCTTCCTTTAATTCCACTTCATATCTAAGTTATTATTCATGCTTAAGGTTACTGAGGAGACAAACAAAAATTGATTAGCACCACAGGATTCCTTTATGCTGTTTTTCTGTTTCATTGTTTATAAAAAGGGGTAAGATAATTAGGTGGCAAAAGTGACACAGTTACCAAGGCTCACCTTTTGGTATCAGGAGGTCAGACACTGCAAGCATTTAAATTAAGTGACATCTCATACCCCCCACAAAAAAAAAAAAAAAAAAAGATAGAAAACACAACATGCAACTAAGCCTATGTTCACTTTTGATTACTAAGCTTCAACAGGGAAAAGCAACAGCTTTTTGTTTCCTGATACTCATTCAGTGTCCTCTGGCAATTTGAAAGCTCACTTCCTCCGGCTGCAAAGTACCACCTCCAGAAGAATTAACAGAAAATTGCACATAACGAAAGATGCCATGTTTTTATATTCAACTTTTTTTTAGGTTCCAGAACACACCAAAACCAAAATCTATAACTCTAAACAAGTCCGTCACCTACCTTTGTGGTGTCTGTTGACCAACAATGGCATTTGCAGTTTCTCTCAAATAAACTTCCCAGTCCATTTCAGGAATGTCTTGGTCAGCAGTAAAAGGATACCTACATAATAAAAATTTTTTAAAATTAATATCAAAGCAAATTATCACCTATTCTAACATGGTCTTGGAAGTAAGGTAATTCATATGTCTGACAGTATAATTTACATTAATCTTTGTAGTGACTTACTGTTGTACTCTGCAGCACTCACAGATAAGTAGTGCTTTCCGAAGATTCCTGCCAGATTTCTCTGCAATCCTTTGAGCCAGTTCCTGAGGAAGAGTCAGGCCTTCTTTCTTACACACACTGGACAAGACATGGCAGATCTGGATGGAAAACAGATATTTCCTGTTAGAAAGATTCCTGGACCAGAGATGGACCAGTCTTTCATAAGACATGCTCGACAAGTCACCGACCACAAAGAAAAGCTAGGTCACTGTGTGAAAGTAAAATATCTCGTAAATCCACAGCAAGAACTTATCTAGTCAGAATTTTTAAATAATTTATTTTTGCTTCTATTTTAACATACGTCTTCAATGCTGGGAGCAGGCACTCGTATAGCCAGGCATCTGCTTTGAATAGGTCCTATAATTTTTGACATGGAGTTGCAGCACAGGATCAACCTGCAGGTCGCCATGTACTTCTCCATTGTTCTTCGCAAAGCATGCTGAGCATCTTTAGTGAGTTTGTCAACTTCTGTTAGCAGCACCACTGAAAAAAGGATTAAAAATAGTGGGGGTTTGTATTAATAAAAAAATCTTTCTAAGAAAACAAATACATTCGACGTAGAAACGATAATACCAGAATAAATGATAACATGCAGAAGAAGGCAGCATGGTTACACAGGCAGGAAAATAAAGATTAAGATGTGTGCCTTTTTGACTGTACAATCTGCTCCTTCACACACTATATTCATGTCCTGGAATGTCAGTTTCTTGAGAGCACGGCCTGCAATGCTTCAGTGCCAAGAAAAATCCAGATAGGTGTAGCAGCTTTCACCCTGATAACTAGTACAGTAATTTCTTTACAGGAGTTTTAAAGTAAGTCATGGAGCAGAAGTTATGGCATAAGGCTATATCAAAAAGTAAAATTTCTTGAAAACTCTCAATACATTTTATATCTAAAAGCCAATGTCTTAGCCTGACAAAGGAATAGTAAAAAGCTGCCTTATTATTGTAGCTACAGCACCTTTCCGTGGTCTTTTAAAGAAAAAAAGAAAATATATTTAAAAAATGCTTCACAACAATCCAGAGATACCTAATATAAAGCAGCCAACCTAATCAGCGACCCTCTGCAGGTTCCTGCACAGGCAACTGATAGATGGCTCACTTCAATACTCTGAAGTATTGTCTAGAGCCTGGAGGAACAAGTCATCCCAGTATTCTTCTTCCACTTCTGGTTATACACACAGCCTAGCAATACCAGACAGCTTACAAGATACTTTGAGGTGCATGATACAACTGCAGCTGTAAGGATACATACATCAATAACTGGTGGAGACAATCAGGGTCTAGCAGCTCAGGTGAAACAGTGCTTTCCGGGAACACCAAGACACAGAACAGAAGGAAAATGCAACAAAGTACTAAATCCATGAACATTTTCAGCTAATTTCTCCTCTACTATCAATCAAGATTTCTTCTCTCCTAAAATCCCTTTATATAGTTCTGATTTTACTTTCAAGTTAGTCATGGGGAGGAAAAATAAGCCAATTATAGCAACATGTGTCTTGGAAAATTCAGTGAAAGTCTCCTTCATTTTCTTACCCAGTGTCCCTCCGTACACTATGGATAAAAATCTTCTAAATGGGAATAGGTTTGTTTGTACCTGCATAATGCACAAAGGTACACACATGAAACAACGGGATCAAATTTCTGAAAAAAATCCCAAGTTTAAAAAGCCCTTGACTGGTTTTAACTGTTCTACTCACCTTTAAAATCTCGCTGAGTACTTGTCTCAAGCTGTTGGGACTGTGCTACTGTCTTCAAGAGTTCCTGAATTACTACACGGTCATTGTTTCCCGCATCACTGTAACAGGAGTTTGAATAAATTTTGGTTTAAAACAACTTTATATTCCATATAAAACATATCCTCCTAAGCAACCTCCTGGTAAACTGACTCAACAAGAAAATTCAGAAGCTGCTGAGGTTAGAATTAAGCTCAACACACATATTTTGTTGAAAGTTACCTATCCAGTAATAAGAACAACCTAAAGTTTATGCAGGCACAGCTGGATTAGTAGCACTGTATTGAAGAGTAGTGAAACCACTGTCAAATTCACTCATAAAAACAGAACTTATTCTTCTGGGATAAGAAATCTAAACTTTTCTTACCTACAACCTGGACAAAGACAGATAATGTGAACACTCTTATTCATTATGGAAAGAACAACTAAGTCTAACCACACAACAGTATGTCTGACTCAACAAACTCAAAAGCAGGGGTTTTTTTCCCCCCACAAAAACTAGATGTCATGCAATGAACAACCTAAAAGCTTAATGCACACTTGAATGGCAGACGCACTGAAGTTACAAGTTACCGGTAATATACTGATACTGAGATGCTATTACAGCATTAGGTTTGCTTTTTTTCTCTAAAAAGGCAAGAAAACATGGGGAAATTCTAGACTTCTCCTGCCCCTTTTCTTCACTATACATGACAGTAGCATTGCACAGCTTTCTCAGTCCCCAGGTTATAGTAGCTCAGCTAGTTTGACTCAGATTTGACAACCAGAGGGGACTACTGACTTGCAAGGTGGATTACCAAAAAAGCTAATAAAAAGGGGAAGAAAACACTGCCTATTTAGCATCCCAGGCAATTGCCTTCACAGAAGCAGCAGTAGCTCTGTTATATTTCACTGGCAAGGAAATGAAAAGACATTTGTCTGCGCTGTTCTCTTCACCACTCGACCAGACCTTCCCCATTATTGCCAGGGAGAAGGCAGCAGAACAGAGAGAAGCATATTAGCTCAACAATTCACAAACTGCTCGATGGGCTATGCTGACTTGGACTGCAGAGCTCTGTTCTTCAGCAAGGCAGCAAATCTTTGCTTTTGTATTTGTGCTGTAATCAAAATGAAACAAGCCTTCTACTACAGTTCTACTTATGAGCTATGCCAGCTGTTAGAAATGGAAAGTGATTAAAATAGTGTCCTAACATTTAAATTATTTTCTGTAGCAACAGAGAACTCAGAGATATAATTTCATGGCAAAAGATTATCCTTGGTATTATATGACCACATCAAACATTCTAGGAAAACAATGAACAAAGGCAGTTACCAGACAAGCATTTGATTTTTATTGCTCCTTATTCTTTACGGATGCACTAACTCAGCAGAACCCATTTTAAAGGATCTACCCAAGCTAGTCAAGTGACTAGAAGAAAATACTCTGGAATTCAGACAATATCCTCTTTTTGAAAGAAGGAGAACATTTCTGTTAAATGTTACATTTCTATCTAATGTTAACTAAATTTAAGTCTTCTATCTGCAGCATCCTTCCCAGAAATTCATTTCCTTTCTCTGTTAGCCATTTATCACATTCCCTGTTACTCAAGATGCACAACATGATTTCACTGTATTATAACTCAATCAAACTTAAAGGCTATAGTACAGCACAGGCAGGTTTACTGTCTGGTCAAACAAAAACATGGCAATTGCTTGCTACTTAAAGCCTATGAATCAATATATTGATTCTTAATCAAAACTTAGCACTACTATTATGTACAATAACCACTACACTAATTCTACACTTTCAGGATTTTTATACGTAAAGTAAAATACAATTATTTTATATGAGATGAGCTTAGTTGATTAGAGTATGGTGTTAATAACACCAGCGTTGTGGGTTCAATCCCCGTATGGGCCATTCACTTAAGAACTGGACTTAATGATCCCTTGGGTCCCTTCCAATTCAGAATGTTCTACGAAATCTATGTTTCAAGCTCTAAGTACTCTATGCAGTGTAACAGAAGAAGTATTATTAGTATCAGCTTATCAGAGCAGAAGACTGAAAGGTGACACATTTTATATCACCAAAATAAATATATCACCAATAAAACTCTCAGTTTTTACTGATAATTAACTGTTAATTATTTGTGTCTGTATTAGAACACCAGCAGATATTCACTAATCAATACACAGATTAGCTGCAGAACAAGATTTCTAAGGGGATCTGGCACATGAGAATAGCTTCTAAAATGCAAAGCAGCATGGGCAAAGGTTTAGCAGTAAGCACAAAGTTACTTTAGGATACTCATTGTCTTATAATTGCAACACAGACAACAAAGCCAACATAACCAACGCCTCTCAGTGCACAATGACATTTACTCTTCTGTGATTTAAAGCAATGTTACAGGTTTCAGGCAAATACAAGTATTTACTTTGGGTCAGTGAACTATCACAATTTCACAACTGCCAAAGAAGATGTACAGTACCACATTATAGCTTCTGTTGTTTAAATCAACATCTGAGCTCGCTCAAGACAGGATTTGCAGTATTTTGTGGTGTTATTCTTTCTTGTACTTTAAAATGCATTATTTGAATAGTTACTGGGCAAACCTTGCTTACTTTCTAATTCTTTTAGTTTTGTACTTGTGAGAGAACTAACAATATGGAGGTGTTAGTTCCAATAAAAAAACTCAATATCAACTGAAATGGTTAAGTCTATGAATCCAGAATTGTTTCTGTTACCCAGTCCTCAACAACAGCATGCTTACGTGGTTAGTTAAGCAGAACATTAGTGTCTTCAGTATGCAGCAATACCAATTTCTGTTCAGAGTTGTTCAATTAAAAATCCTCTCCCTGTTCTCATTTGCAGACCAAACCCATAAACCATTACCAAATTTGCTCAGGCAACAAATTGGGCAATCAGTCCCTCATGTCCAGGCTGAAATCACCTACAACAAGACCATTAGCTAATCTTGAAAGTGGGGCATTTTTACTGTACACTTACCTTGGGTTAACTTCAAGGTGATAATTACTTGCAATGGTGCTAATTTCGATCTTCTTTTTAGAAGGCGCCTATATGGAAAGTAAGCATGTTAATGTTCAAGAAGTGTTCTAAAAATCCATCTTATAAACTACAACAGTCAAACCAAGAGTCTCAGAGATCAAAGAACTGCTGAGACACTGGACTTGCCTATCTCCTATACCTCCAACCCCACCTCCAAAAGAAAAAAGGAGAACCGACACATCATCCAGCTGTAAAATAGCAACAATGATTATTATAGCAACGCCTGCTATGTATTACTGCATACTCCAGTTACTCCAGAGTCCTGTAAAAGGAGGCTCATTATTGGAATCAGCTATTCAAAATAAATGACACTTTGCCCATTCAAAGAAAAGTTTTGGAGGCAAAACTGCTGGACAAGCCTGAAGAGGCTGTTAACTTCTCCTGTCAGAGAACTTCAAGTCTCTACTTTGAAGAAAGTATTACTATTTAAAGCACCACTGAATTTAGGTCTGGACAGTTAAATATATTCTATATTTATTTCATCCAGTTTAAATATATTATTTATTCCATCACTGATAGTTAAAAAGAAAACATTAAATAACCTATTTATCAATGAAGCCAGATAACCCCTTGCTGGTTAAGCCTTCTACAGCAAGGATTTTTAATAGGTAAAGAATGCCTAAGACCAGGGCAGATAAAATTTAAATTTGGTTTTGGTTTTTGTCTTTTATTTTTGCTGAAATTGCCACTATGAGAACAAGAAAACAATGTAAAACTTGAATATATGCAAAAAGCAGTGCTAAGAATTAAAAAAATAACCCTTATTCTACAGACTAACTAAATTCTATATATTTAATTCAGAACTAGTCTGTCATGACAGATGCTATTGTTCAAACCAACCTGTAAACAACAAATTAAAAACCCCACCCCAAACAAAATAACACATAAGAAAAGCCAACCAGGCACAGAAAACAGAGAATCCCACATCCTGAAGACCTAGGGAACAAGAACATTTGGAAAACTATTTGTTCATATAACCAAACTAGTATAACTAATTACATAAAGAAGTTTGAATATACAGAGAGGGGGGGAATTGGTTTTAAAACTCAAAAAAAATATAAAGGCCTCACAACAGAAACCTATCTGTATATCCATGTTACTTCACAGCAGATGGGAGACATATTTTTTGTTTTTGTTTCTTTTTACCGTTATACTCTGATGCTCAATCCTCAGTTTCTCCACTCCTGCACCATACAATTCCCTTAACAAGCACATTATTCTTGTCTTTTTTCCAGCTCCTGATGGTCCATACACCAACAGATGAGGAAAGTCACCACACTGAACCTGAACAAAAAGCAACATGATTAGTTAGTTATAACAGTATTCTCTTTATAAGAGAGTAATGCATCCTTCCATTCTCACCCAAGTTTACGTAAAATGACTTTTCTAGCTCCATGATAACATAGTACTTAGAATCAAGATTGCTGAATCCCTTTCCTGCAGCAACATTTCCTATAGAAAATATTTTTCTGAAAGCCATGTGCAACTTATTTAACCTCAAACACTTCATCACTCAGAAAATACCCCAAACAAACCAACAAACAACAAAATCCTTAAAAAAACCCATCCCAGCATTTACAAGCTTTCCAGGGTTACTAGAATGACAGCTGCAATAAACACACGGTTAAAAGGTTTAAAAGAAAGACTAAAACAGACACAGAGAGAAAGAGAAAATTAGTTCGGAGTTTCACTTGCAAGCTTTGAATATAGGCAAAGGAGTAACAGGTAGCCTGTGTTTAAATGAAGCCAGGCTGGAAGGGACCCCCAGTGGTTCATCTCCTCCAGCCTCCCTGCTCAGGCAGGGCCATCCCAGAGCGCATGGCACAGGCCTGTGTCCAGATGATTGCTGGATTATCTCCCGTGAAGGAGGCTCCATAACCTCTCCGCACAGCCTGTTCCAGTGCGCGGTCCCCCGCACAGCAAAGAAGCTCCCTCCCATACTGAGGCGAAATCCCAACCCCTGAGGCACCGTCCCCGCGGGGAAGAGAGCACCCGGAGGCCACAGGGCCGCGGCGGGGAGGCCGACGGAGCGGAGCGGGTCGGCCCCGGGGGTCCGTGCGTGCCGCACTGACCAGGTTGCGGAGCCGCGCCGCCTGCTCGCGGTGGAAGTCGAGGCGGGCGAGGGCGCCGGGCCGGTGCTTGTCGGCCCACAGGCTCATGGCGCCGCAAAGCCCGCGCTACGGCGGCCGCCGAGGGACAAACCGCGTCGGCGGCGGCCCCGCCCCCGCTGCTCCCCGAGCCCGGCCCAGGGCAGGGTGGATGGTTCCAGAGGCCCGGCTCGGTGCCAGCCGGGATTGGGTTCCACCTTCCCGAGTGACAGAGCCAGCAGGCGGCACTGCGCTCCGCGAGAGCTTTGCCGAAACAGCCCCATACCAGTCACTGTGAAGGACATTGACTCCATTGACTCCATCACCCCCACTGTATCCCCAGAACCACGGAGCCCTCCGAGCCCCGTTCGAAATCAGTCCTCTCCAGGGGCGTTTCGCAGAATCACGGAAGCAGTTTAGGTTGGGAAAGACCTCTGGGGTGGATCATCGAGTCTAACCTGTGACCAAACACCGCCACGTCAACTCGTTCATGGCACTCAGTGCCACATCCAGTCTTTCCTTAAACACCTCCAGGGATGGTGACTCCGCCATCTCCCTGGGCAGCCCGTTCCAATGTCTCATCACTCTTTCTGTGAAGAAATCGTTCCTAATGTCCAAACTAAACATCCCTTGGTGCAGCTTAAGGCTATAAAGAGAGAGGGCTTATAATTAGACTGTAATTTGGAATATGCATTCTCCAAAAACCCACAACACCTAAAAAAACTTGTGTTTCTTTCTTGTTTGTTGGTGGAGACATCATTGTTATCTTATTAATAACGTCCACTGGGATCTGATGACATCAATCTTGCCATTTTATTCCTAAAATCTGGATGTCCTGCCCTGGCCCCTTTACCTTACTTTGTTTTATGGCAAAACCAGCTTTCAGGATTCAGATTGTTTGCTTCCATTGCTTGAAAACTTCCACTGTGTAGTATCCCTAATAAATTAAGCATCATGCAAAAGTGATATTATTTGAAAGCAGAATTCCTTGAAGTGATGAAATATGGATATACACATGAATAGTCTGTAAAGTGTCAAGCCTAATTTTTTTTATGATTTCTGTGAAAAAAATTAAAGTGAGATGAAACATTCGTGTTACTGTTCATGTTTTACCAGCTCTGCGTGCACAGTTATTCACACAGTCAGAATGCATAAGGCAGTTAATGGCTTCACTAACCAAGACATTTAAGTTGCTCATAAAAATCACAAAAACCTACTGGGGGCACTAGGCAGTAGAGCCCTTCCATTGATACCATGTTACCTGTTTATCTGAAATAGTTGCATTACTTACTCTCATAGACACTTATTAATCAGTTTTATTTGCATATTGCCATGAATTAGCAAATTCTACAGCTACCTGAAAGGAGATTGTAGGCAGGTGGAAGTCAGACAACTAGTGACAGGACAACAGGTTGAAGTCTTAAGCTGTGAGAGAGGAGGTTTAGGTTAGACATTAGGAGAAAATTCTTTACATAAAGGGTCATTAGATATTGGAATGGGCTGCACAGAGATGTGATGGAGTCCCTGTCCCTGGATATGTTTAAGGAAAGACTGGATGTGGCACTCAGTGCCACGGTCTAGTTGACGTGGTATTGTGTAGTAAATTGGACCCAATGATCTCATAGGTCTTTTCCGATCTGATGGATTCTGTGATTCTCCTGTTACAGCTTTGTCAGCACTGTCCTGGTACATGACTGAGTCGGTGAAAGCTGCAGCAGCAATAACCTGCCCACGGCTTGCCTTCATATCCTCTGTTATACTCAGCACCACAGAGTGGCCTGTTCCTCTGCCATTTTCTACATTCACATTTTGTGGGTCTACAGTGTTTCTCCTGTGTGCCTGTTCTCTCTGCTCCACACCTGCGTTCTTCAAAGTAGTCTCTGAATTTGACCATTTAGTTCTTTGGTATCCTCTTTGGTTAGCTGTATTTATTACTTGCCTTTTTATGCTTTTTCAAATCCTTAGCTCGTTTGACTGACTTTTTAATAATTTCTGAATGATATGCTGTTCTTCTGTGTCTGTCAATGTCATGCTTAACTTAATTGCAACTTCTTGATAGCTTTTTATAACCTGCACAGTTTTTCCAGCCTCCAGAGAGTTTTTGCTAACACATGCCAGCTTCCAGCAAGAGCTCTGACAGGTACTCCAGGCTTTTAAAGTATCAGTGAAAACAAATCTTTTTTGGATGAGGTCAGACTTCAGCAAGCATGATTCAGTCCAGAAGGCTTTTAGATACTTTCAGCTCCTGAAGAGATCAAGGAGTGAAGACATGTAGCATCTCTGAAATGCCCTAGTCTCTTTTTATTATTAGCTCTATTTATTATTAAACTTCCATAGGATTTCTTCTTATCCTGAGAAGAAAACCTTGGAAACTGTGCCCTACTTCAGCAATACATTTAAGCATGGGCTTACACTTATCTTTTCAGTAATTTCTTGCTATAAAAAGTAATTAGGCAGATGAACAAAATTATTTATGTAAAAATTTTATCATTTTAAAACCTGGGCCTGCTTGAAGCATTGCAGTTATGGTACCTTTTATCTGATTAAAATGAGCTATAATGCTTTGATTTTCTGCTTCATTATTTTTAACTGCACTATAGATGCAAACAAAAATAACTAAATACCTAAAATTCAATGGTTTAGCCAAGTATTTTACAAATAAATCAATGTGAATAATACAAGACACTCTGGCAATTTCAGCTGCAGTCACAATTCACTCAGATACAAAGACTGTTAGAATATGTCTTCACTCATTTTGTTCAGTCCAGCAGAAAGGTCAAAAGGTAAAATGACTTCTCTGCATGCATAAGCTAGACAATGTATCTGAAAATAGAGATTTTAACTACAAATGGCATTTCGAGCCTCTTACTACCAGCAGGCATGTTATTAGAAAGTGACTCAATGTCAGGCGCTATAAGAGAAGCTCCATCTTATACCCAGATTGAAGTAAAACTGTAAGACCTGGGTCCTGTTCTTACATATGTATATAAAAAGTAGTTTTTAACCAGCTTCAAACCAATTATTGAAACAGTGCTAGAACAAACTAGAGCATTCTTATAATGACCTCCAAAATATCTTTACAGCATGATTGGTGCTGGCAATTAGAGTAGCCATTAACAAGTCCAAGTACTATTTTACTGTACGACTTGTGTTTTCCAGACAGAAGACTGTTTGGCTTCCTTTGATCCCTCAGGCTGTTCTGTTTGACTTCCTTTGATCTTTCAGGCTGTTTAGCTGACTGAGAAAAATTTTTCTTTTCAGTTTCAAATATTTTAGCAGATCATTGCCACTCTGTTGACTGTCACTCCAGGTTATGTCACCCTGTCCCCATCAGAGCACCTATATTGCTGCAAGAAAATTGTAGCATATCAAGAAAGACCAGATCACTAATTACAATGCAAAGCAAACAAAAACAAAAACAAAGGACCATAACAAAGTGACATCTGTTCTGTTGATGACATGCTGATGTCATGCAGATTGAATATGACAATGGAAAAAAAAACATAAATGGTGATAGCCAAATAAAAATCTAAACCAAACATATCTCATCTAGATTGGCATGCATTAAAGAAGCTGCTTCTTTATAAGAGATGTAAAATCAAGAAATCCTTTTTCTTCAGGAGTCTGATGGTTTGTCTTACAATCCCTTATTTAGTCTGGAAAATTAAAGTAATAAAAACATCATAGGAGTTTTCCATGCAGGATGAAGCAAGCTAAAAAGGTGTAACAAGATAGGTTTTCATAACTACTGGAAGTGCATTCTGGAAAAAGCTACAGAGATAACACTGAATTGGAAGATACATTGGAGGATACATTCTGTCCATCAATCATTACTGTAAAATCTTTCGTACATTTGTCCATCTGGAAAAGATTAAATAAAGCCCTTTCCTAAAGATGTGGAAAGATGAAAATAATTAGGTGTATTAAAACAACAACAACAACGACAAAACAAACAAACAAACAAAAACCTCACAAGATTTGTTCTGATTTAATCAGTACTTCTTCATGCTCTGACTCCTGCTGCTAAGGACCAGACACTGCTCAGCTTCCCTAGTCTCTAAAGTGCCTGGAGAAGTAGAAGAAAAAAAAGATGAGATGTGTTTTTTGTTCTTATGCTCCCTGTGGTTTCAATTTGGCATAGCTGTGCAAACCTAAGACCCTTTTTTTCCAACATTAAGAATTGTACAGCTACACATTTGAGCAAGATTTACAGCAGCATAGTTAATCATAATAGAGAAACCTAAGGAGGCAGTTGACATTGTTTAAATAGACTGATCATAAATTCAAACATCTGTCTGGGGACATGTAGAGTTATAGATCCTATCTTCAGATGAACTTCTGCTATGTTAAATACATACCCATTTTCTACTGAAGGTTTTGATAAAAATCATAGGAGATTTTCATATGTAATTTAGATCTTTCCCTCTGAGTTTTATGAAGTCGCTGACTAACAGATACAATCATGTGCTTCAGTTTCCACCAGCCTGCATTTTGCAATAACAGAAGAACTGCAACAAAGGAAGCTCTTGTCCACTTAGGATTGATGATTTGAGTTTAAGCCTCCTAGAAGTGTTCTGAAAATGACTCAATAAGTTAAGAAATATTCAACATTCTTTTCTGAGTGTATTCTAAATAAGACACACAAGTACCTTACGGAAACTAATTGTGAAGCTCTTTAAAGAATGGCATGATGTCAGATATTTGAATATATGAAGAAATATTTGTGCCTGACCTGTAATTAGGAATCTTGTGAAGATGTTGATATTATGACATTTTTTGTCTCTTTCTAGGCAAGGGTAGATGTCGCTAACAAACAACTATTTGGATTATTTTTAAATCTAGGGGGTTTGTTTCTGTTCTCATCAGGTCTTGAGCTAGAAATTTTTTTATTGACTTGACCTACTTTTACAGTGAAAAAAATCATGAAAAATAATGCATTTTTGCAAAAAATCAGATGAGTTACATTCTAGATACCTCTGCCTGTAATATCCTAACTAATATGACTAAGATAATAAGTGTCTTTTACATTTCTAACATTTGAAAACTCATTTTTCTATATATAAGTGTTTCTCTTGATGATAATGTTTCAGCTCCTTTGAATTCACAGAACATTAA